GGTTGCGGGTCGGGGCCGCACGAGGGCCAGCATGACGGCGCGAGCGGCTGCGGCGACGGCGGCACTGCCAGCACTGCGGCCTGCTCCGAGGAGGACCGTGGCTGGGCCGCGTGGCTCCCCGCCGAGGCGCAGCAGAGGGCGTGGCGGGCCAACGTCTCGCCGCGCGCGGGATCGCAGGCGGCGGCTGGCGAGCTCGGCAACGCGGAGCTGCTGTGCGTGGACCTCTGGCAGTTGGGGGTGGTCATCTTCTTCCTGCTCACAGGCAAGCACCCATTCGGCGACCGCAGGGACCTGCGCGCGATCTGCGAGAACATTCGGCGAGGAGACGCCGTCAACCTCGGGATGTTGGCCAGCTCCTTGCCTCTCTTCGCAGACCTCGTCGCGCGGCTGATCGCCCACGCGCCGGAGCACCGCTGGTCTGCGCAGCAGGCCCTTGGGCACCCTGCACTCTGGTCCTGGGACGAGGCCTCTCGCGCGGTGGCGAGGACGCCGTGCTTGATACACGCTGCACTGCAGGGCGGCGTGGCGCAGGTGATCCCAGCGCTGGCGCCCTTGCTCGTGGGCGGCGCAGCAGGGTGCGGCGGCGGTGCGGCGTTCGAGGATTCGGCCGGGTTTCTGGCGGCGCTGGGCCTGCAGCCGGCACACGTGCTGCAGCAGGGGCCAGCACCCATCGCCGACGGGGCGGCCCAATGGTGCAGAGCCGTGGAGGCAATGCCCATGGCGATGGCGGCGTGTTGCGAAGAATCGGGGCTCGACGAGCAGTCCATCGTCAGCGGCTCCCTGCTGCGGTGCATCTGGCGTGAGGGTGTACGCTACCGAAAGGGCCGCAGTCGGAATGACCACCTCGACCGGACTGCATACTTCAACGTGGAGGTGTTCGTGAAGGAGCGGGTCCACGGCTGGGTGCGCGCGAAGCACGGGTGGTTGCCGCTCTACGGCGTGGGGGAGGCAGCGGGTCGTCCGCTCTTCGAGCTTGTGTCGTCACCAGCGGCCAGCGCCCCGCCGCTCCCTCTGCCATCCCCGAGATTGTGCAGACGGCAGCGTGCGCAGCAGGCCAGGCCCGCGCGCCTTTTGGAGGCACCGCCGGGGCTTGGTGGCGACGTGGTGGCACATGAAGTGCCCGCACCGACGGCCAGCGAGGCAGCCCTCGAGGGTCCGCCCGAGCGGGACTGCGGCGTAACTGCGCCCCGGCCGCCGGCGACGACCACGAAAGAGGCGGCCTTCGAAGCCCTGCTGTCGTGGGCGAAGGTGGGCCCCGGCAGCTGCACGACGAGACTCCCCACGAAGCCCTCTGTGACGTCGGGCTCCGAGCTGAACCCGCACGCGCCGAGCTGGTTCCCCCCGCCGCTGCGGGAGGCGGCACCAGGCCCGCGGGAGCCGGTCAAGGTGCATGCCGGGGCCACGCAGCCTCCCACGCCCTCGCCACCGCTCCCGTGCGGCGTGCCCGCGTACGTGAAGACGGGCAGAGCTTCGGGCCTGTGCCCAGATGGTGCCCTCACCGGGCTCGGAGCTCACGGGGAGAGTTGCAAGGGCCTCTTCCAGATCCAGTCGCTCCACGCACTGCTCGGAATCGCGGCCAGCGCCGCTCTTCCTGCAGGCTACATGCATTGTCTCGGACCGTCTCCGATGTTCGCTTAATTTCGCTTAGCAGGATTTCGGCCGCGCATCTGAATCTCACCGTCGTCGGCCTTCCCCCGCAGAATCAGCTCCACGGAATAGCCGCGGCGTCATGTGGCACGCCACATCCAATGCGGCGAGAATTCGTGTTCGCGTGAGTTATGGCAGCTTCGCTTCCACATCCGCTGTTGCGCCGTCTCGCTACATGTACAGTCCAGACGCGGAAGTGAGGAACAGCTCGGACTCGGAAGGGGCTCGCTGCTCCTCGGGTCCTGTCATGCTTGTTCTTCCAGCCATTCCTCATGCACCCAGGCGCTCTCAGGGTCAACAAAAAGGGGCCGTTCCATGCTCAGCATTCGTTGCGGTAGTAATTTGGTCGCACGTCTCCCTAAATTTGTGTGCAAGGGTTTGATAGAAAGCTTCTAACGCCCAGTGAGGAATACCAGGCCCCCGAAATCTGTGGCCTATCGTGGCCACACTGTATGGCCCCACATCGTGGATTGCTCAGAGCTGTTGGCGGTCAGGATCTTTTGATTAGCGTGTCACGGGGCCGATTCTGGCCACAACGCCTCGGCGTGACAAGCTACAGTCCAGATCCCAGTCGTCACCGTCCCGAGCCTTTCGAAGCCTCCTGCGCAGCGGAGCGAAACGCATAGCGTGTCGCCGGGGCCGCAGCGACACGCTAAGCAAACGCTCTTGACCGTAGATTATGTCTAACGACCGCTGGGGAGTGCCAGGCCCCCGAAATCGGTAGCCCATCGTAGCCCCCCATCGTGAATTGCATACGGTCAGGAACTTATGCTTACCGTGTCACGCCGCCAGTTCTGGCCCACCACGTTCCGGCACGACACGCTAGCCGCGGCCCGGCCCCGAGACGTCGACGTGCCGAGTTTCTTCTCCCGAGCCGTTCGAAGCCTCCTGCGGAGCGAAGCGACACGCTATCCGGTTGCAGGACATAGCGTGTCGCCAGGGCCGCCTCTGCCACCCGGAGTCATGCTTCTGACGCCCAGTGAGGGATGCCGGTCTGCCGAAATCAATGGCCCATCGTGGTCCCGAGTTGTCAGTTGTTATTGGGGTCTGCGCGCAAGACTCAAGCGCGACCAGGGGGGCGCCGCGCTCTGAGAAGGCGTGAGAGCTCCTCAATTTCTTTGAAGTGGGAAGCAGGAGCCTTCTTAGAAGGGCTGCAGGCTTCTAGGAGGGCTTCTGAAAGGCCGTGAGGCCGTCCGTGCAGCCCCCCCGTGCCTTCCTAGCAGCCCCGCCAACTTCTTAGAAGCCGGCCCCCCTCACGCCACCCCCTTGTGGGCGCCGCCAATGCGAACTGTGTACAGCTGTTTAGGGCATTCTGCCGCAAGGTTGTCGCGGGAGAAGACAGACATCAAGAGATCTCGATTTCCATAACAATGTTGGAACATATTGCAAATCGACGGGAAGACATAGACCTGCAACATATAGAAAAATATTAGGAATCCTAGAACGTGTGTGCATGTATGTGTGCCTACTTGGGCCCCTGTTGAGGTGTGGGCACCGGAGCTTTCTCGGCCACATCCTTGGAGCCGGCACTTCGCCGCGGGGTTCGCGTGCCTAGGCCTCCCAAGCGGGGTCCGAGCAGATGGGCTCGGAGGTCGCTCCGCATCGCCGATGCATCGGCGACGTCGGCGTGGAGAAGATCGCAGATGCATCGGCGACGTCGGCGTCGAATCGCCGACGTTTTGGCGATGCGGCCGGATGTGGAGCCCGATCGCCTCCACGCCGACGTCGCCGATGCATCACCGACGTGGCCGATGCATCGCCGAGGCATCGACGATGTGGCGCGATCCTGCAGCAGCATCTGCTCGGACCCAATATGAGAGGCGTCCAGTGTGTGTGCCTACAGGCCCCGTGGCCCGAAGACGCCCCTGGGCGCGCAGGAAAGCAGCAACATGAAGCGCCGTGCTTCGTGCTACGACTGCCGCGACAAGAAAATCGCGACGGAACGATTTGTTGCTGCTTTCGGCCTCTGGGAGCCTCTCCAGGAGAGCGGGACTGCCGAAAAGCCTTCCAGGATGAAGAGAACCCGCCCCTCCGATCGTCAGACTGACGGTTCGTGCGCCTAGCGGTGGGGCGATAGGCAGATGGCTCGGAAAGAGAGACTACAGTCGGACAGAGGTTCAAGATCGAGGTCGTTTCGGGGAGGGTATCTTGACGTTCTTCGTGGCTGTTGGATGTCACTGTGCATCCTGCTGTGGGAGGGCACCCTTGGATGTTCGGTGTGTGTTGGCAGGCGGAGGGCCTCATATTCTTGAGGCATGTTCTTCTGGCTTAGGTCCGAATGCATGGCGCCTCGATCCATGCGGCAGGAGGAGTACAGGGAGGACAACGACGACGAGAAGGAGGAAGAGTAGGCGGAGGAGGTTGCTTCGCTCGCCGCGGGGCTTTACATGCGTGTGCTCCGCGGCGTCGTTTTGGCAGGCCGCTTCTCTTGTTACTCAGAGACTCGGCATGGACGGGGGTGCGCGAGCCGGGTGGGCCGCAGGGGGTGTTCATGTTGCTCCTCCTCGTCGTCCTCTTTCTGGTCCTGCTGCTGCTCCTCCGCACCATCCTCCTTCTGCACCTCCTCCTCCTCCTCTTCCTCCTCCTCCCCCTCCTCGTGTCGCGTCCTTTTTCTGAGCCTTATCCTATTCATTTCTCCTCCTCATCCTCCTCCCCCTCCTCCCCCTCCTCCTCCTCCTCCTCCTCCTCCTCCTCCTCCTTCACCTTCTCTTTCTCCTTCTCCTCGCCTCGTCCTTCTCCTCCTCCCTCCCTCCCTTCCCTTGAGCGGGGAGGGAGGAGGAGGCTCAGAAGCCATTCCCAGGTGCGCTCCTCGAGGACGGCGACGAGGAGGCAGACAGACAGGGAAGCGTGCCCCCGCCCAGATCCCGCCCTCATTAACTCATCCTCCCTTATGGCCCTCCCTCCCTTCCCTCCCCTCCTCCATGATCCTCCACCATCCTCTATCATCCTCCACCCCTCCCTCCGCTTCCTCTTCACCCTTCCTCCTCACCTCTCATCACCCCTCCCTCTCTCCGCCATCTCGCTCTCCCTCTCTCCCGCCCTCTCTTCCTGCTTATCCTCCCCCCCTCACTCGCGATCCACCCTCTGCCTTCCCCCCCCCCCCACTCACACACCTCCCTCGCCATCCACCCTCCACTCCCCCTTCTCCCGCTGCCACCCCCGCAAACCGCCGCCCTCCAACCACGACCCGCCGTCGTCGCCGAGCTGCCGCCGTGTGGGCCAGCACCGGCCGACCGCCGCCTTGCCGCCTCGCCGCTGCCGACGCGGAGGGGCGCCGCAGGCAGGCAAGGCCGCCGCGCACGCGCCGAGCGCTCTGCCCTCGCCGCCCCCGGGGCCGCCGCCCGTGCGCGGAGGACTTCGCCGGCGCGCTGGAGGACACCACGGAGGAGCCTCCTCCGCGCTCATCCGCACGAGCGAACTGGGTACGGGAAGGACGGGTACGATGCCCAACAGCAGCTCCTCTTCATTTTGAACAGGACGCGCTGTCCGCGCCGCCGCGGACGTTGTCCACTCGAGACAGAAGCCACCTGCCCAACAGCGGCTGCTGTCGGCTTTGGGCAACATGTGATGTTGGGCATCGTACCTATTCTTTCTGTACCCGTTGCAGGCGCCCACTGCTCAGATCAGGTTTCTTCCTCGGGAAGTCATCGGCCCCAGCCCCTCGGCGGGGGGGCGAGATCGGCGCGAGGGCGGTGCGCCTCTTGTAGGGCATCTAAAAAGCCCTCCCGGCCTCTGAGAAGCCTTCTGAGGAGCCTCTGGGGCCTTCAAGCAGGCCCTGCTGTCCAAGAAGCCCCTCAGCCTTCTCAGAAGGCCGCCCCCATCGCGCCACCCCCCAATTGCGAGCGCCGCCAACGAATGGGTTGGGGCGTCCACGAGGGGGATCATGACTAAGGGGGAGAATGTCACGGCCGACTAGGTTGCATGGCCCTCCCTCCTTCTTTCAGCACGTCCCCTGGTCCCCACCCCAGCGTCCGCGCATATGCGGAGGAGGGGGAGGGGTAGAGCGGGGGAGTGGGACGGGGGTAGCCCACGGAGTGTCACTTCGCTCGGGCGAGGGTCCCAAGAAGTTCCGACGGGTTCTGAATTGCTTGCACAGTTCGGCGGCGACCCATCCTGGACGTGGCGGCTGCTGTAGGAGGAGGAGGAGGAGGAGGAGGAGGAGGAAAGATGGAGGCAAGATGGAGGACAGAGGAAAGAGGAAGGGAGAGGAGGAGGAGGAGGAGGAGGAGGAGGGGGAGGAAAGAGGAAAGAGGAAAGAGGAAGGAGGAAGGAGGAAAGAGGATGGAGGAAAGAGGAAGAGAAGGAGGAAAGAGGAGGAGGAAGAAGAAGACGAGGAGGGGAGGGGAAGGGTCGTGGGGCATCCGTGGGGCAGACATGTCAACACGTAGTTCACGTCTGGTTTTGCCTGGGCAGAAGATAGAGGAGAAGGAAGAGGAGGAGGAGGAGGAGGAGGAGGAGCATGAAGAAGAAGAAGAAGAATGAGAGAATAACCTTGCAGAGCATGATGGGGCGCGTGGGGAGGAGGGAGAGCAGGAGGAGGAGGGGGAGAGGAAGGATGGCGAATGAGCAGGGAACAGTAGGAGGAGGAGAAGAAAGGGGAGCCAGATGATGAGGAGGAACGGAAGAATACAGGGGAAGAAGAGGAAGAGGAGGTGGGGGAGGAGGCGGAGGAGACGGTCATTTCAAGTCTTGGTTACAACCATCAGAAGTATGAGGAGGATGGGCAATAGCAGGAGGATTAGGAAGAGGAACAGGAGGATCAGGAGGAAGAGGGGGGAGGAGGAGGAGGGAGGGAGGAGGAGGAGGAGGAGGAGGAGGAGAAGGGAGGAGCTATAATGGTCAAGTCTTCGCTCCCGCCAGGAGGAGGAGCTGGAGGACGCCGCTGACGACGAACAGGAGGAGGAGGGAGAGGTGGACAAAAAGAATGAGAAGGAGGGGGACCATTCCTTCCAAGCGGTCTCGGCTGCAGGCAGGAGGAAGGTAATGAAGAGAGGGACAGTGAGGAGGTTGAGGAGGCAGAGGGGCAAAAGGATGAGCAAGATGATCAGGATAAGGACGGAATGGGGGAGGAGGGACGAGAAGAAGGAGGAGAAGAAGTAGGGAGAGGAGCATTTCAATCTCGGCTCCGGCCAGAAGAAGGGAGAAGAGGACCGACTCAAAAGTTCGTAACAGCTAATGGGGTTCCCGCCATACTTAGCGAAACACGTTTATGTATCCGAACAACTTGTAACAGTTATGATGATGGAAGGCGTTTCCGTTTCAGCATGGATCTTTCGCATCAGCTCTTCGCACATTTGTTCTCAAATGTTGGCAAGTACTTCAAGGATGGAGGGCGGCTCCTTTTCAACATGGAGCTCCCGCATCAGCGCCGGGCACACTGGTTTTAGAAGTTTGCAGCAGCTACGGGGATGGCGGACGGCTCTTTTTCAAAAGGGGGCTCCCGCTGGAGTCTTTCAGAAATGCGAGGAACAAGAAATTGCCCCAGATGTAGCAGCTGCAAGGATGGAGACCGGCTGAATTTCTAAAACGTGTGATCGTCTGAGACGGCCTCGAAGCTCATGGCCAGGAGGCAACTTCGTACAATAGCTACACGGGTGGGGCAATGCTTTTCAGAACGGGTATCTCGCTGGACACGTCGTCGAACCGTCTGATCGTATGTTCCCGCGTGCCTGATCACGCGCCTGAGAACGCAAGGCAGTTCCTCTTCGGCGCGGGGATCTCGCCAGATCTCGCCCGAATGGCTGGGCCATGAGGTGCTGGTCTTTCAAGGGGGCGCTTCTTGCACTGAGAAGAGAGGCGTGCATGGGACTCACGAGGAGAGGACTTTTAAGCCGGGAGGGTGTACGGTCGAGAACGTCGGCTTAGCGTGTCGCGCCGCAGGTTTTGACCCACCACGCTTTGACACGACACGCGAGCCGCCTCCCAATTACCAAGCGTCAACGTCTTGAGCCGTTCCCAGCTTCCCGCCCCGCAGATCGGAGAGACACGTAATCAGTTTGCAGGACACAGCGTGTCGCCGGGGCCGTCGCCGCGACACGCTGAGCAAAAGTTCCTGGCCGCATTGCAGAATTGGTGATGCATCTTGGGTTTACTCTGGTCCTCCTCCTTCTCCCTGTCGTCCTCCTCGCCTCCTCCGCCGGCAGAGCCATCCAGAGCTTTGCCCAGGAGTGTATGCATCAGGCTTCCTCCACAGGTGAAGATCATCTGCGCAAGCTCCATCGGGGGCTTGTTGCCAGGAGCTTCACCGCTCGCGCGAAGGACGGGGAGCTCCTTCCCCGCCGTCCTCCCCAGGAGCTGTTCCTGGCGCCCGGCTCCTGCCACCTCTGGACCCGCAGCGCCGCCCTCAAGCTGCGCACGGGCGACGCGGAGGCGCACACCCCGCGGCCCCCGCCCCTCGAGGGAAGAAGCACGGGGACCATGGCCACGATATCGCGGCATCTTGCCGATGCCGATCTTGGCCATGGTCCATGTCGGTGGTCGCCGATTCGCGAGGGTGATCCGCGAATGGGCGCTGACCAAGATGGACGGTGACCAAGATCGGCACGACGTTTCCGCGTTAGTCTTCGTCATGGCCCCCTTTCTCTTCGTCTCCAACCCCCCTTTCTTGTTACACGCCCTTCCCCCCCCAGACATCCGGCGTCTCGGAAAAAATCGAGGCGGAAGTTTTCCATCGGTTCCAGCATCTCGGGGCCCTTACCGGGCCTCGGGGCCGTCAAGAAACGGTTCAGGATGAGAAGCCAGACCCAGGGAAGGGGTCGAGACCTTCGGGAGCCGATGTTAAGAAAACATCGTGACGTCGGGGGTCTGGGCCTCCGTCTTGCCACCTCCTGGCTCTCGGACCGCGGGCCTCGATCTCCCGCAACCCCTCCTCCACGGAGGCCCCCTGGGTCGTCCGAAACCCCCCGGGCCGTCCGGAGGCTCCCCCTCTCCCCCTCCCCCCCTCCCCGCCCGCCTGCCCAGGCGCAGAAGTGGGGACCCCTGGGGCCCCGGAGGGGCTCCGCAGGTCGGGGAGCTTCTTCGTGGCCGGGGCTCGCCGTGGCCAAGTGGCATTCCCGGGCGCTCGTCACAGCAGCACGGGGACCGTGCCACGACCACGGCCACGACGACCGCGACCGCACCACGGCGGCGACGACGACGACCCCAGGCATCCAACGAGACGCTGTTTTGAATCCGCGGCCCCAGAGCTCCCGGCCCCTCCCCGGGGCAAGTGTTGCGCCCTGGATCCATTTTTTCGATGGCCCCCGGGCCCGACAACGGCCGGCAGAGGCCGAGATCGAGAAAAGGGGGCGGGATTGAAGAAGCAAATCTTCCATCGGCGGCGAGGCGGAGGCGATCCGCACCAGCGTCTGGTTCACCGGGGGGCACCGATGGGCAAATCTGTGAGGCGTGCAAGAGATGGGGCGGGGAGGGGGGGCGGGGGGACGAGGAGAGAGGCGCTCAGAAGCGTAAGATTTCCGCGGTGAGCGAGCCGGGTCGGCCAGCCAGGGCAGCGAAGTCGCGGCAGCAGCCGGGGCCAGGGCTCGGATTAAAGAACACATGTCGTTGGAGATTTGGGACGACAGCGCTCCGGAGGGCCCAGGACGCTCCAGAGTGTTCTGGAGCGCTCTGGAACGGCCGCGGCACCCGACACAGCCCCCATAACCGCCAGATCTCGGAGATCTCCGTTCCGTCTTGGTTCGATGTCTGTTCTGGTCCTGGCTTCGTCTCAACAGCGGCGACAGCGCCAGCCCGGCGCATCCGAGGGGCCTTCTCGGACGCCTCCGATGCCATGCCGAGGCGTGCCTCGGCGCTGCTTTTCCCGTGGCGCGATGACCGTGCACGACCCTCCGAGGCCATGCGGATCTCAGCGAGCGCACCACGGCGGCGACAGCGACAACGGCGGCGGCGGCGACGACGGCGACGGCGACGGCCAGGGCGGATTCTGCCCAGAAGTTCGAGGCGGATCTGGCCGTGGCAACAGGGGCGCCCCCAGAGGCCCACAAAGATCCACAAATGTGCTCGATCCTCAGGTCTCGAACGATCGATGATCGACGACGACGACGACGAGCACGACGACGACGACGACGACGACGACGACGACGACACCAGCCCCGCGCACCCAGGGGGCCCTCTCGGACGCCTCCGAGGCTATGCGGATCAGCGAGCCCACCGCCAGCGCATTATGCTGCCGCGGCCTGGCCGCGCTGGGCTCCGAAGAATGGGCGGGTTGCGCACTGGAGCGGTCTCGATCAAGCGAGGTCTTCCGCCCCTCCCTCCGGCTGTCACCCACTATTTTGCCTCAATGGCTGGTAGAACTCAGGGCCAACGCTGGGGGGGTAGGCTCAATGGGGCCATCATGGAGGCTCCTCCGTCTTCAGGGGCACCGTATGGGGAGGGTGAGTTTTGGGGGAAGTTCGAGATTTTGGGGCGTTTTCAGTGCTTCTCGGCAGTTTTCCAGCCTCGGGGTGCATTCGAGCGGCTGCGCCTTGCCGAGAGGCTGCTGGGGGTGCAAAGATCATGTTGAACGGACGTTGGAGACTCGAGATACGATCAGGATGTTTTGCATAGCGTGTCGCGCCGCTGGTCATTGCCCACCGACCTTCGGCGCGACACGCTGACCACGTCCGAGTCCTCAGGTGTCAACGTTCCGAGCCTTTCCCAGCCTCCCGCCCCGCGGAGCGGAGCGACACGCTATCCGCTTGCAGGGCACAGCGTGTCGATGTGGCCGCCGCGGCGACACGCTAAGCAAAAGTCCCTCATCGTAGAACCCCCATCCTGCCAAATCGATGAGCGAATTGCCAGTTGTCGGTTCTCGAGAGGGCGTTGCAACCGAGGATTTGCGGGACCAGCCAGCGAGCGCAAAGTCAATCATGATTTTAAAACAGGGAAAACAGAAGGAACCTTTCGCGGCGATCTGTCGCGTTCAGTGGTCGACGCAATAATTTCGTCGAGAAGCAGGGGGGCTCAGTTTGGATCGGTACAAGCTCAGAGGCCCAACGATACGTATTGGATCAGTGTCGCGCCATGTGGCCCAGACACCCCTGATGGAAGGGTGCGTGGACCCGAACAGCACGCAGCAAGCGCGCGAACATGTTGGAGAAACAGCCAGATCCCCCCTTCAATCAAAAGACGGCCAGGCACGGGAAACCGATCCTAGGCAAAGCACCGTTCGGCCTCGTACGCATATAGGGATCTTTCAGGAAATCGGAAAGCATTGCACGAAGGACGACTGTTGAGGCAACGCAGCCATGGCCGCTTGAGCTCCCGAAGAGGCCGCGCAAAGGGGGCCTGCATATATTATACGAACATATACCTCCCACGCGGAGCAGCTTGCGCAATCAGAGCACAATGCATTGGGGAGAGTGTTTGCTCCTGCTGTCTCAATTCCCTGTTTTTCCGTTTCGCACTGCGCCAGGGTCATGGCGCAAATTCATCTTTTCTGACGAGACGCGCACGGCGAGATCCTTTGCTCTTTCACAGCAGATGAGAGCATCAACTGTTGCAGCATTGATGCCAGATTGCCACGGCAAGAACGGGCGCCGGTCAAGATATTGTTGTGCACGGGGCGAACATAAGCAGCAGCAGAGGGCTCGTCCCATTTCGTGACGATCTGCCTGTTCGATGTTAAATCTCTCCGAGAAGATATAGTATGTGTATCAGCATCATGCTCGATAAAAAAGAGCAAGCGAAAAAGAGCAAGCGGCCAAGGTGGTTCCATTGGAAGCTGGCGATCTGCACAGTCAGCTTGGAGTGCGCACAGGGCCTGGCGCCGATCTGGTCACGCATTGCCTGTCCTCCTCCGCTCGCTCCATCCTGGCTCAAGCCCAGGTGCTCCAGTAGTGATGGCTCGGGCAAACTGTCTGGCAGATTGAGGCGCGCTTTCCATGCACTCTTGGTCTGGACCTAGCACTGCTGGTCATCCACTAGTGCCGCATGGAGGACGCAGACTCAGACATCGATTTTGAGGGCATTGTGAAGTATATGACGAAAGCAAAGGGCAAAGGACCCAGCGCCAAGATCAAGTTACCATCGGAGGTTGAAGTCAGGCAGATATGCCACTTGGTCGGAGAGATCTTCATGTCGCAGGATTCGTACCTTGACCTGGAGGCACCGATCAAAATATGCGGAGACATTCACGGGCAGTATCACGACTTGTTGCGCATGTTCGAAATGGGAGGGTTCCCGCCAGAGAGCAACTACCTCTTTTTGGGCGACTACGTCGACCGTGGAAAGCAGTCCGTCGAAACGATCATTCTGTTGTTCGTATACAAGATTTTGTATGATGAAAGTTTCTTTATGTTACGCGGCAACCATGAATGTGCAGCCATCACCCGGATCTACGGCTTTTATGATGAGTGCAAGCGCCGATACAACATCAAGATTTGGAAGCATTGTGTCGATGTCTTCAACCGGCTCCCCCTCTGTGCGGTGATCGATGACAAGATCTTCTGCGTGCACGGTGGGCTCTCCCCGGAGATGCAGACACTAGACCAAGTGAAGAGCATAGGACGTCCTTTGGACGTTCCGGATTGCGGATTGATGTGCGATTTCTTGTGGGCGGATCCCGAAAGCGAGATAAATGGTTGGGCAGACAACGACCGCGGTGTATCCTACACGTTTGGACCCGACACGGTGGAGGGTTTCCTCAAGAAGTTCGATTTCGACGTGGTAGTTCGTGCACACCAGGTTGTAGCAGATGGGTTTGAGTTCTTTGCAGGTAGGAGATTAATTATCCAGTCGCCTGCGGCAAACCCCGCCACCGATCCCGCGCAGCATCGAAATGTATACAGGATGGATGGCTCGACCAAGGTCTATCGACAAGGCTCGGCATAATAATCTATGTGTGCTCATATAGTGTTACTTCGGTCTGTATATATGTAAACACATAGGTTCTATATATATACACACCGATATAGATGTTATGGTCCCCGTGGTTCGTTTCCTCCCCTGCTCTTCATAAGTTCAAGTGTTGGTCTACTGAGTTCTGCCGAGCGGACTGATTGGACTCATCATGGGGACGCCTTGAAAGCAGCGCTACGTTTGGTATCGCTCGGACGTTTGCATGTTCTCTGGCGAGGCCAGCGCCAGATAATCTTGACCATATATGAACAGATGGGTCCTCGTGCGAGAAAAAAACGCCGTACTGACAAATGCACTTGGAGCGGACATCCGAGCGATGGCAAGTACGACACTGCAGCGCGGCGCGAGCATGATGTTGTAGATATTAGATATGTCACATTGTTTCGTGTAGGCGTTTCGGATGCGCCTTGGGCTTCGGGGGCACTTCTTGCAAGCTTGTTGGGCTTCGTGCGACAGTCCTGGTCGCGATTGTTCTACCGAGCTGTCCCGAAGAGTCTCGGTACTGGGGCCATCTTGTAGGGGCAGTTTTTGGTTACCCATGGGGGGGCATTCAGGCAGTAGTGAGGTCCTCGGGGGCCGTCTTGAGATGTATTGGAAATTTGTTGAGGTCCTGTGGGCCCGTCTTCGGGCCCCCTGAAGGAGTCCTGAACCCAGCTGAATCAGACAAACTTAGCAAATAAGCATGCTTGAAAGCCGCATTGCGGTTCCAATGTTGTTATTCTCCAGGAGCAGGTGGAAGGTTATTTGGAGGGCTCGTGGGGACTCTTAGAGCATTGTGTGGACATCTAGAGGCCTTTGGGAAGCCTTTGAGCCGTCGCCGACTGGTCGTTGAGCCTTGCAATCATCGTGTGGCTTTGAGCCATCTTGGGGCCGCGAGGGGCGCCAGGGGGCGCATGTTTTGAACCCATGGTTGCTCGTACAGCACGGTACGTTCGGGTCGTGCCGACGCGCCCGCGACCCAGCCGATGACGTGCAAGGTTGAACGCCGCCAGCGGCCCAGAATGCGTCAACATGGAATGATATAGCGATCGAAAATGAACCAATCGTGCAAAGTTGAAAGATCCACGCGGTGTCAGAAACCAACGCCAGATTCGTCACGGCCCGAACTTGCCGTAGGTGGCAGGGTCGCCCCTGGAGAGTTGCACTGACCCTGGTACCAGACAGGGGGTCTTGCAGGCGCCCGTGTGTGCGAGGGCACAGTAGCGGGCTTTGTTCTCCGCGCCGAACTACTGCGGCGAGTTCGACAATTCGGGCGCCATGATGACAGTGGACAGCAACCTGATGATATCATTCCAGGTCCTCAAGCCGGTCAAGGGGAAGAGGTGAGCGCGCGGGCGGCCAGAGCGTTTCCACTCCTACTCCCCATCCTCCTTGCGCACCCTCCTACGTAGAGCCAAAGTGCACAGGACGCTCAGGCCAATTGAAAGTGAACTGAGGTCTGCCAGCAGGGGCGCCCAGAGGTTCACCGTTCCACCGCGAGGGTGGGCCAATATCGTGTGAGTGTGTTTGTGTAGGTCGGACCAGTCCGATCCGGATTGCTGGTGCCCAGCCAGACTCCCCAGAGTCACAGTCAGGGTCCATGAAGCAAGGACGTTGCAGGCCAAGACACTGCCAGGTTCAGTGGGAAGAGGCAAAGGATGAAGCACGTTTCGACCAACCGGCTGCAGCTCTCTTGGGCGTGCAAGCGTCCTGTCCTGGCCTGTCAGACTCTTAGCTTTCGGAGCCCTGACACAGTGCAGTCGCGCGCATCGTCCGTTCCGCGAGGGGGCCGCCGCGCTACGCCAGCAGGTACGGCCGAGGAGCCTTCTCTGGCGGCCGGGGCCAAAGTGGCTTTCGTCCGTAACCAGTGCAAGCTGTTCCACCCTTGCTTCAATTATCCAGCTGTCTGCGGCAAACCCCGCCACCGCGCCTGTGCAACAGCGCAGCAGGAAGGAGAATGAGTGTAGGAATAGCGCAGTCCCGACGACTGGTCTGAACTGGACGGGTCGTGAAATCGATCTCGTCTTCGTCCGCACATTAGAGAGGATGTCGAGTTCACGCCCCGCTGCAGTTCGGCGAGCTGTCTGAACTGGGGCGGGTCGTAAACTCCACAGTATCTTCGTCCGCGCGGTGGGGAGGAGGAGTGGGGGGGAGGAGGAGGAGGAGGAGGAGGAGGAGGAGGAGGAGGAGGAGGAGGAGGAGGAGGAGGAGGAGGAGGAGGAGGAGGAGGAGGAGAGGGAGAAAATGAAGACAAGGAAGAGAAGGTCTCTTAGGGGCTCTTGGCGCCTCCTGGGAGCCTCCTGGGGACCTTTTGGGAGCTCCTGGGGGCTTCTTGGGGCCCCTTGGGCGCCTCTTGGAGCCTCTTGGGCCGTCCTAGGGGGTTCTTGGCCCGTCTGACTCCTTCGGATACCGTTTTGGGTGCCTCTCTGGGTCGTCTTGGTGCCTTCTTGGAGAGCTTTAGGGCTGTCTTGGGGCCCTCTTGGAAGACTCGATATTGGGGTCTTCTTGGGCCGACTTGGGTCCATGCTTGGGGGCCTCATTGGCTGTCTCGGCGCTATCTTGGAGGCTTCTTGGGCCGTCTGAGGCGCTTGAAAACCCAAACAGGCGCGATCCCCGAAATTTTCCAAAACCTGAGTAAATCAATGTGGTTCGCCTTCTCGGGCTCTCCTGGAGGCCTCCTGGAGCCCTCTTATGCCGTCTTGGAAGCTTCTAGAGCCGTTTGGGAGCCTCTCACGCCGTCTCGGGCAATGGCCCGTCTTGGTGTCGTCTTGGCTGTATTGGAAGCCGTCTTGAGAGCCATCTTGGCCGTCTTGAAGCGGAAAGAACGCCGGAAAGCAAATTCAATGGGGGCGGTTTCAGTGTGCGTCGAGGGGGGAGTCGGCCTTAGAAACTGCTACAAGACCTGACCAGGCAGCAGACGAGCATTCTAACACGCCCACTCCGTACAGGCACGGTGGCGGATTCCTCCTCCTGCCTGCCCAGTTGCACAGGCAAGAGACTAACCACCTCAGCCGCAGGGCTGTTACACTTTCTAGGTCGCGCTGGGACTGCAGCAATGCGACTGCGATGGCAACTGTGGATAACGCATCCTGCCCCTAGTTCCCTCATGCTGTCTTGCACAGGGAGCAGCAGCAGCAGCCGAGCGCGCTGGCGGCCCTTGCCCCTGCTTTTAACGCCGGTCACGGTTCAGGCACGCAGCTGCTCCGCCTCGTAAAGAAATGCGTGCCGCGTCCGCCTCCCGGGTCGGAGGACAGCGGGGGGGGTCGGCAGGGGCGGGATACGAAAGTTGCTGCAGGCGGCCAGCTTTGGCCCCGCCGCTGGGCACCTCCCTCTCGACACACGGGCGCTTCTCCGGCGCTGGGAGGTGTCAGGGCGCCAGGGGAAGCAAGTTGCCCGAGTTGACGCTCTTTTTCCGAGACGGGCCCCGACCTCTCGACCACTTCCCTTGGGCTGGTTTCTCATCCCGAGTCGGTCTTTGATGGTCTCGAGGCCCTGTAAGGGCCCCGAGAGACCGAAAACAGTGACGGAAATCCGTCTCTGCTCTTGCCGAGACGCCAGCTGTTTGGGACCCCTCTTGCCCCCCCCCCTTGCCCGACCTGGCCAGCGCCCGCTACAGCCAAAACGCCGGGAGCAGGGGCTCGGGTCTCCGGGCCGACCCTGGGATTGGGTCAGGGGGCCTCTTTGCGGCCGAGGCCCGCCGTGGCCAGAGCAGCCCCCCGCCCCCGGAGATCCGAGGTTCCGGCAAGATTTGGGCGGCCTGTTGTTGGCTGTTTTCAGCCTCCATTGGGGTCCTCGCCGGGCCCTGGGAGCGTCAGAAGACGACCCAGGATGAAAAACTGGCCCTGGGGAAGGTGTTCACACCTCCAGGGGCCCACGCATCGAATGAGTTCGAGCGGCCAGATATCTGGGTCGTTCCCTGCTCGGCGCTCCTCATAGCAGCGCGATGGCTGCAAGCGTCTTGTCGGAGGCCCGCCCACGCTTCCTGGGCTGGCATACCTGCGCGTCCTGGGCTGAAGAGGTTGCGCTTACAGACCCCCGACGTCATGATTTTCTGTCGCAACGTCGACCCCCAGAGGTCTCGAACCATTCCCTGGGACCGGCGTTTCATCTCGAGTCGTTTTGCGAGGGCCCCGCGGCCCCGTAAGGGCCCCCAGTGGCCGAAGATTGCGAAAAACCTTCCGTCTTGATTTTTTGTCCTGGTTCGAGAGGGTCTGGGATGCATGCGCGGCCTGGGCCGCAGAAGCTGCGCTCGCTCTCCCTGGGGGCCCGGCGCGGAAGCCCGTGCGAGGGTGGCCGAGGATGGCCGCGAGAGCGTAAGGCGCCCGGTCGGGTGGCCTGGCAGAGCCCGTCTCGGCTCGGTCGGTTCGATCCGCTGCCCGGCTCTCCCGGCTCGATCTGACCCCGACGATCCCAGGCACCCTGTGTCTCGACAAACCGAGAGAGGTTTTTCATCGTCTTTGGCCTCTCGGGGCCCTCACTGGGCCTCGGGGCAGTCCAGAAACGATCGGGGTGATTAACCAGCGAGGGCCCGTGTCTCGAAAAATCGTGACGCCGCATATCTGGTAGCGGTTTTGTTCCTCCATTGCGGCCCTCGGGGGTCGCTTTCTGGCCTTGGGGGGCATCAGAGATGGATCCGGGGCGTAGCACTACCCCTGGTGAGGCGGTCCAGATTTTGGAGCCGCGGATTGAAGAAACAACAAAAAAACGGCAGATGTCTGGAATCCGACCTCGATCTCTAAAGGATCCGATGCGGCGCAGAGCTTGCACGGCGCAGCTGCGTACCAGCTTGCGGCCGATCTTGTCCGATCCCGATTCTGGACCGATGCAGCCCGGCTCGACGCTCGCTCAGATCCGACCTGGTTTCGCGATTCGGTGCCATTTGATCCAAGCCGAGAAACATTCAGAGCCCCGAGTCATCAGGGTTTGGGGTGGTCAGGGATAGCTCCTGATTCGTGTCTCGGCGGCGCAAACTGGAGTTGCCCTGGACTGGAGTTATCGTGGATAATTCGGGCGTCCAACCACTTCCGAATCATCGGGGTTGGGGTTGAGCAAGGGTAACTCCTGGTTCGTGCTTGGGGGGCCCAAACTACAGTTACCCCATACCAAAATTATCCAGGGGCGCGTGGACCCGTGGGGAATCGTGGAGGAGCGCGCGGGCCCGTGGGGAACCGCGGGGAATTGCGGGGGAGCGCGTTGACCCGCGGAGAGCCGTGGGCAAGCGTGGATCACAGAATACGGGTCGTATCAAATTTAATTCGCACTGGAGCTTGAATCAGAATGCAACGCGTTCCAGATGGAACATCAAAGTGCGGGCTAGGTTTAGGTGCCCGCCAGATTTTGCCAGATTGCACGTTGCACCAGATTGCCAGGTTGGACATGTCACCAGATTGGCCAGGTTCGTTTCGGGGCCAGAGTGTCAGATTCGAATGTTCGCCAGATTCGGTGTCCGCCCCCTAAGGGGCGCGCCATAATATGCGTCGTTTAAGCCTTCGCCAGATTGGGCACTATGCCAGATTTCGTCCGATTGGACCAGAGTATCTCCTCGCCAAATTGCCAATTTGGCGCCAGATTCGACCTGCCAGACTGTTGCCAGACTACCTTCGGTTACCCAGGGAGACGCACGCCACCGCCATGGCGCTCGACCAGAACTTCCAGCGCAGGGGCCAGCACGCGCACCACGCGGGCGCCCCGCGGCGCAGCCACAGGTCCAAGCAGGAGACGTTTCGCCACGCGCTCGCCTCTACGCGCGCGGTGCGGGCCTGCCTCATCAGCGACTCGCAGACAGACCCTCGGGGCCCAGAAGCATATGAAGGACGCCGAGAGACAGGGCATCCTGGATCTCACCGCCATGACGGACGAGGCCCACGCGGACCTGGCGGCCTCGCAAACGTCTGGGACGCTCACGAAGCAGATCTTCGAGATGCTAAATCCGTCTCTCACCGACGCCCCCCCCCCCTCGCCGACGCGAGCTCCGCCTGGGAGAGCACCAAGAACGAGCGGGCGCAAGTGGCAACGGACGACGAAGAGTTCGTGGCCAACCCGAACGCGAGGCTCAAGGCCATCGCGGACATTGCTGAGATCCTGGGGAGCACGACATCCACGGCCGCGACGCACAGCTACAGCTAGATGCAATGTTGACGCCACGTCTCGCTGATCCTGACGCCCATGAACCTGGGCTTCTGGGGGCCCAGCTCTGTTCAGACAGCGAAGGCCATGGCCGCGGTGCAGCAGCTAGCCAGCAGGCGGCGGTGCGTCTCGGCACTGCTGAAGGCGAAGATGATTCCGCGAAGGACAAGCTGGAGTCGGAAGCTTCAGGATCATCCGAGGATGTTCCTGGCACGCCAGCGCGAATTCAACGCGCGGTGGCACCAGGCCTTGCAGATTCTCTTGTACGGCGCTGCATTGCCCAACGCGAGCCAGCATGCACGCTGCCTGCGGGCCATGGCCAAAGGCGCATTCGCACTGGCGGATGCGCGCCAGCGCGTTGATGCGCACAGCCGCGCATGTCTTAGGGCAACTGTCCCTCCGCGCGGCCGCCAGCAGCGCAGGTCACGTCACGCATGCAACAGATCCATTGGAAATTCCTGCGTTTCCACACGGCATGACATCTTCTCCTGCACTACTGTGCAGCATTAGCGCATGTGCGTTGCCACCGCCACCTGCCGCTGGGCTGGAGCATGTCTGAGTCAGACATGCCCACTGCAGGGCGCTGGCTACTGCTACGACGAGCACCGCGCGGGCGACCTGACCACGTGCTCAACGCAGACCGCGGTCGACACGATCACCGTCGAGATGCCGTATACTACCACCAAAGGCCGGCCAGCCCCGTCGTCTGCGAGGTCTTTATCGCGTCGCAGCAGGCCGCCGCAACGTGTTCGTCGCGAAGTCGCGGCTGTCACGACTCGCCAGGCACTCGACAGACGCTGCGTGCAGGCCCCCCGCTTTGGCACTTCAGCCCCGCCTTCACTAGTAGGTGCCAGCACTTCAGCGCACCGTCGCAGAGGTCACTGCTGCGCTACCGCCCACGCGCCTTGCAAACCAGTCGACATGCATCGCGTTGGCTTGGCGCGCTGGCCACGCTGCGCTGCCGACAGACGGTGCGCGACGTCGGATGCGATGCTGGCGGCCGACACCCATGCTTTTCGAAGACAAGCAGTGTTTGAACAGCTACGAACAGCCGAGGTAGGCACCTGCGACACTGCACCGCTGTTGGCCGCATCCAGTCAGCACGCGCCGCACTGGCGCCACTGGACATACCAACACGACGACCAGGCAACAGCGGCGATTGGGAAGCATCATCAAGTAGAAGCACATTGCCGCAAACAGCTGGACGAATCGCGTCTGCGCATCTACGAATCAGGGCGCGCGGGCGCTCTCCAGCCGCGCTGCAGCGCAGGCGCCGCCACGTCCAGCTACGCCCGCCAGCGCCCACTCACCCCAGAGCGTCAATGACGAGCGGCTACGCTGGCAGTGTGCAAGATGCAGAGCCTGGGAGCGAGCCTGGCTGGGAGGCACGATCAGCGCCGCGTCGTGAGCGCACGCCGGACACGATCTGCGCCGGGCACCCGCGAGCAGCGCCCTGCTCCTGGCTGCTACACGCCACTGGCCAGTGTGCAGGAGCCACAGCGAGGAGCTCGTCTCTGAGCTCTCCGTGCTGCGGGGTGCCTTTACGATCAAACGACCCTGGCCACAGGCAGTGCATCAGACGCATGCGCTGGCCATGGATCGGCATGCGTTGCTCCCCTGGGTTCACGAGTTTTTTTCGGGCTGAGACTCCTGAGCCATGGATGAGCTGTGCCAAGCGCCCACTGCTGGTGCATCATGGTGATTGCTCTGGCAACTGATTGCAGGCGGCCATCCGTGGCCTAACCGTCGCGGAGAGACACTCCCCAGTGCCCGGTAGCCCTGACACGAATAAGAACATGCGTGCGCGCCCGTTGGCATTATGGCCCCAGCGCGCACGCGACCCACCATGCGAGAAGGCTTGGGAAATTCGCTTGGCGAAAGACCCAACCACAGTCGTGAGCACCATCTTCGGTGGAGCTCCTTATGAGGGCACGAAACGTGTGAGGGGTGTGCAACAGTGGAATGGCTGCGGCACGCGGGCGCTGCCACTGGGGCCTTCGGTGGAACTTCCTATAAGGGCTTCAGCGCGGCTTCCTCTGTCCGCGATCTGTCCAAGATGGCCCTTCCCTTATTTTTCTTCCCCTTTTGTCCGCGCACTCCAAAGTTCAAGGCTGCCGGCACAGCGACGCGCAGAGTCCCCGCGACGCGCGCCGGTCGCCGCGAAGGAATCCCAGCGACGCGCTCGGGTCGTCCGCTGCGCGGAGCAAAGAGAGCTGGCTGGCTGGCCGATAGCGGGCAAGGCTCCAAACGCCCGGCAGAGCGACGAAGGGCAAGCGAGGCGCTGGGCAGAGCGCAGCACGGAGTTCCAGCGACCCGCGCGGGTCACCCGCGGCGCGAGGCTAAACGGTTGAATGATCCAATCTAGAGCAGGCGCTGCTCGGGCGGGCCAGCTCCCCAGGTCATGCCTCGCGGATAAACTCGACGAAGCCTAGCTCCTTGGCGAGGGCCGTCGCCCCCCTCCTGCACCGCTTCGTGCGAGTCGCAAACTGCTCCAGCTGCTTGGGAAAGCCGTCTATGGGGGGCCACGAGACGCGCAAGGGAACAATGGCCTGGTAGCCGCATTCGGACCCTGCCATTGAAGCAGTCGGTGGGCCTCCCTGGTATCACCGCCTGCTCCTCTTCCTCCTCCTTCTCCTCCTCCTCCTCCTGCTGCTCCTCCTCCTCTTCCTCCTTTTCTTCTTATTCCTCCTCCTCCTCATCATCATCATCCTACGTCGTGTGGACATGCGGAGGGCGGGGAGCCGAATGTGGGTTTTGTTTATGCGGCCGTTGGTGGAGCCCCCCGTGGGGCCACGAAGTGCGTGACGGGCGTGCCGACGTGGACATGCGGTGGGCGGGGCGTTCGCATGTAGACTTAACCCTTGGGGTTTTTGGCCCCTATGGGACCACGAACCGTGTGAGGGGTGTGCCGACATGGACATGCGATGGGCGGGGGGCCGAATGTGGATTTTGCCGATGTGGCCTTCGAGCCGTGCGCGGGGTGTCCTTACATGGGCATGCGGCGGGCGGGGCGTGTTCATGTGGACTTTGCCATGGGGGGGTCCCTACGAGACCACGAACCGTGTGAGGGGTGTGCCGAAATTTACATGCGGCGGGCGGGGTGAGCGCATGTGGATTTTGCCATTGGGGCATTCGGTGGAGTTCCTTCCGGGGTCACGAACCGTGCAAGGGGTGTGCCGAAATCGGCATGCGGTGGGCGGGGTGGGCGCACGTGGAGTTTGCCTCTGGGGCTTTCGGTGGAGCTCCCCACGGGGCAACGAACCGTGTGAATAGCGTGCCGAAATCGGCTTGCGGTTGGCGAGGTGGACGCATGTGGAGTTTGCCTCTGGGGCCTTCGGTGGAGCCCCCGACGGGGTCACGAACTGTGTGAGGGTGGTGCCGACATGGGCATGCGGCGGGCGGGGTGGGCGCATGTGGACTGCGACTGGGGCTTCGGTGGATTCCCTTTATGGGACCACGAATCGTGTGCGGAGTGTGCCAACATGATGGATGTGATGAGAACAGAGGCAAGGATGGGAGGAGGAGGAGGAGGAGGAGGAGGAGGAGGAGGAGGAGGAAGAGGAGGAGGAGGAGGAGGAGGACAGGAGGAGGAGGAGGAGGAGGGAGGGAGGAGGCGGGAGGGAGGAAGCGGGAGGGAGGAGGGCGTTCTCTTTTCAAAACGAAAACCAAACACCACAGGACGGTTGGTAAAAAGGATTATGCGGTTTGCTATCTCTCATATTACAATTGTCGCCGTGTCTTTCACCACTGCCATCCGCAATTCCACTCCTCCTCTTCCTCTTCCTCCTCCTCCACTTCCTCCTCCTCCTCCTCCTCCTCATCCTCCTCCGCCCATTCGTCCAATTCGACCCTCCCCTCCTGATCCTCCGCCTTCACATCCCTTCCGCGTCCATATGCTCCTCGCTCATCTTTCTCCTCATCAGCATCATCATCATCATCATCATCATCATCCTCATCATCATCCTCATCATCATCATCAGCATCATCATCATCATCATCATCATCATCATCCTCGTCCTCGTCCTCGTCCTCGTCCTCGTCCTCGTCCTTCTCCTCATCCTCCTCCTCGTCCTCCTCCTCCTCCTGATCCTCCTCCTCCTCGTTCCACCCCCTCCTCTTCCGCTTCCCCGTCGCGGCCGCACTGCGAGGGTGAGGATGGGGCGCCCTGCAGCCAGCCCAGAGGGCGGGGATGGGGAGCACGCTGGGATTATGGCAGAACCCAGAGAGACGAGCTGAGAGCTGGCATGGCCCCGACACGGCTCCGGCTGCACAGCATTTTTCTTCGCGCGATCATCATCATCAGCAGCAGAATCAGAATCACCATCATCCTTTCTATTTAGTGTCTTCCTACTCCCCCTTCGTCGTTCACCTCTTTATCGTAAACACCATCACTCATATCTCACTCCTCTTTTTATCCTCCTCCTCATCATCATCATCATCATCATCATCGTCATCGTCATCATCATCATCATCATCATCATCATCATCATCATCATCATCATCATCATCATCATCATCATCATCATATTCCTTCTCCTCTTCACGCACGTATGCACTTACTCACTCAATGACCTCTTCCTCACCACCTTCATCCCTCTCGCTCGGACAAGGCAAAATTGGACCGGGACGACGTGGAGGGTGCCATCAACGATTTCCGGCAAGCCATCCCCTGGCGCCAGAAGGGGAGGGCGCCCGAAACATCAGAGGCCATGGATGTCTCTTGATTACTTCCTCTTCCTCCTCCTCCTCCTCCTCCTCCTCCTCCTCCTGGTTCAGCACCTTTCCGTGTCTAGACGCCTCCAGGTGGGCCCATGTTGGCAACCCCCGCTGAAGGTTGCACACCGACACCTTCTGATGTTCGTTGCTGGTCGACCCTGACAGGGCTCTCCGAGGGCCCATGCGTTGCAAGATTTGTGGGTGCAATGTTTGCAGTCTCGTGCAGCCGAGGCGGGTCTTAGAGATCGCTGTGTTCGGCCGACATTTCTCCATCCATGTGATGATCGGCACCAGGTTCCTTTCCCTGCCGTTCGAGGAGGTGCGGCGCCAGTCCAACGTTGCGGGCGACGACTACGTGCGCTTCGGCTACGGTCGAGGCCCCTTCACCAACCGCTCGGCAGGGGTCAGCATCGGGCTTCGAAGGCGGGATCTGGCGGCTCGTCTGCATCGTGTGGTCCCTGGCCCTGCCGCTGCTCGCGGCCGCGCGGGCCTCGCCCGCGTCATCTCGGGCTCGCTCGACCTCACGATCGTTGCGCTCTATTTCTCGCCGCCTGGTCCCAAAGGCACGCAGGCGACTTGGAGACGCACTGTGGATGTACTCATCGAGTGGCTGGGTGCGCAACTGGACGCCACGCCTGAGAGGTCGACGCCTTTTACCTCCACGGACTTGAATGACTCGTTCGCTGTGGACGACTCTACAGACACGTTTCGGTGCGTGGGTCCGTTCGTGCAGGAGCGCATGGGCTACGCGGCCCGCTGCCTCCGTGAGCTGATGCATCGCCACTATTTGGAATGCGCCACCACGTTCCACAAGCTCGCGCCGTCTGTCTATTGGGAGAAGAGCGCCTCGTGGATCTACCATTTTGTGCTGCCCTCGGGGCCCTGCCGCGCATACACAAGCTCGTGACGATGACGAAGGCGGCTCGGTCCCTCCAGCTCTTCCCTAGCAAGGGCACGCTACTGGACCACGCGCCTCTTATGTTGGAGGTGGACGTCGGCGTCCCCAGCCTGCAGAATGGCGCGGCGGCCCCGGCATAGAATTTCGACGCGATCGAGATGGCGCTCCAGACTCCTGGCTTACGGGAGGATTTCTTGTCCGAGCTGAACGTGGCCATGAAGCAGCAGGCGCTTGCCTTCCTGGGCCTCTCCGAAGCCGACCGCATCGACGACGGCCACTCCGCCCTTCTCTCAATCCTCCAGCCCATCGCCAAGAAACACATCGGACGTGCTCGTCGTGTGCCTGGCGCGGCCCTGGCCCACCATCGTGCAAGTGTGCGCCTCTTGCTTCGACAGGGGGCTCGGCTTCGTCTACCGGGCAAACCTCGCGCATGCTACGACCTTCAGATTTCGCGACCTCACGAATCGCATCCGCTGGGAGGTGCGTCGCTGGACTCGGGCCTGCCGCCGATCGGGGACTGAGGGCCTGCGCGAGGCCTGGCGCCGCCGTGACCTCGCCCAGGTCCAGTTCTTTTCTCGCCGCTTTTCAGGCGCGGGGCTCGGCCCCAAGCGTCGCAGCTACTCGGCGGCGCGCCGCCACCATGCACCGGTTGATGAACTCGCGGACTGTCTCGGGCCCCCTGGGAACGAAGGCGGGCTCTCCGCTGCCCAGGTCTCCTCAGACGATTTCCCCGGGAACTGGCCTCGCTGGCCCCGCGAGGCACGCGAGCGAGAGACTCGGCGGGGGCGTTGCGCGGGCGGAATCTTCACAGAGCCCCGCGGGCGCTGCGCCGTTCGTCTCGCCGTCGCCCCGTGCCCCAGAGGCCCTGCCCGGGAATATCGGGCGCGCTGCTGCAGCCTAAGAACTGCAGCAAGCCTCGCCCCACCCCCCTTGGCCTCGGCGCCAAACCCGCCCCCTCCGAGGCGGATCTCGTCTCCGCTGGGCTCGAGGGCCCCACGTGCTGGAGTGCGCGCGGGGGGGTCCGACGCGCGCGGGGTTTTCGATCGTCTGGCAGACTCCCAAGCCCGACGGTGGCACGCGTTTCCCGCATGGCCTGCGCCCCTTCCCCAGGGCGGCGGCTCGAGGCATCTATCACTCAGTGCCTCGCGGAGCCCCAGACGAATTCGACCACGGGCGCATCCCGCGCCGCGGGAGAGAGAGTACGACATGCCATGCGTGCACGCGCTGTCGGATCGACCGCGCTTGGCACGAGCGCGGCACGTCGCCGTTCTCGATGGCATGAAGAGCGCTTTCGGCGACCGTGCACACGCGCGCATGGACCAGGGATTGCGCGAGCCTCTAGCCGATCTTCTCGCCGACAGGCGCGCCACGCACGCATTGCACTTACATGGCGCGGACCAGCGCGCCCACCATCACCTCCAAAGCGGGGCCCTCATGGGCGCCCCCAGTGCCCCTCATGAGTTTCGAGCGGGCTCTGCCCTACCCCTCGGGCAGTGGCCCGATCAGCACAAGGACCCCCAGCTTGTCTCTCACTGCTCTATCTTCGATGTCGACGCGCATGGCGGCTTGTTCAAGTACGTGGATGACCCGGCTTACTCTCTGCCTCTGGCCTCGGGCTCCCTGGCGGACGCTGGCTCGCGCGCTCGGGCCTTTCATGCCCCCCCCCCCCCCCCGGGCCTCGACTGGATTATTCCGGCCACCGCCAGAACACCGAAAAGCTGGTCTTGGCCCCATGCCTCTGCGGATATAACGCCAATCGCATGTTTTTGCGTCGCGGAGGTCGGCGGCGCCTGAGTGGCCCCCCACGCGCGCCACCTTGGGCCCCAGTTCATGCCATCTGGAGCGCCCCCCCAGCAGTTACACCCGCGCAAACGAGCGGCCAATCGCGGTTGGCTTTGAATTAAGGTTTTTGGCTTTCGGGTGGCCAAAGTGAGGAGACCGGCTTTCATATCTGTCGCGCAGGGCGCGCCCATGCCTGGCCTCGCCCCGCATCTCCTCCGGGAGGCCCAAGAGGCCCAGTTGGGCGTTGCGCTGCTGGGTAAAATTCGTCGCACAGCGGCGGGGGCGACGCGCAATCGGTCGGGGGCTCTTCCGAAGCCCCCAGAGAATCGTCGCGTCCGGAAGTTCGGCTCCGCCGGTGCAGGGCCATCGTCTGCCGGCCCAGCCAGCACCGCCATGCCGTCGCTCTCTTATTCGGTCAGCTCGGCTTCGAGGACTCCCCCACGCTGGCCTAGGGCCGTCCTACTGCCCGTGCCGACGCCGCTGTCGCTGTTCGTTTCGCATCGGACGTCGACTCCCATTCGGTTGCTCGCTGACTACGAGGATTGGCCTCAGGTCTGGGGGGAACTTGCACGACCGCTTTCACGACGATCACATAGCGCACTTGTCTCTCTCTCGGCTGATCGCTCGGCGCTCCGAACATCTGGCAGGCCGGTTCCGCCGAGCTCGACGCCATCGATTTCGGCGGCCCCCTCGACCCCTGGAAGCGGGACCCCAGCTTCAATGAGTCCCCCCTCGAGTTTCTGGGCCCAGCGGGATGCGTCTCCACGCGCGATTGCGCCACCGAGGATGGCAGTGCATGCGGAGCTAAGTTCCTCGCGCACGCTGTCGGGAGGTCGACGGAGATTTCTCGTGCCACGCTAGATGTGGTCACAAACGAGCGCCCTGCGCGTCGGCCAACCTTCGCCCCCCAGAAAACTGACAGGGCCCATCTCCGCCGCGCGTTTCGTCATGGGTCTTGCGCGACTGAGACGGCCCGCGCTGCCCACCCCGCTGCGCCGCCCAAGTTCGAGCGCCCCGCCTGCTCGACCTCTTTCATTGATTTGGCACAGCTCCAGGAGCACATTTGCGAGCAGCACCTCCCGTTCGTGCCTGGGCGCGCCGCGCCGAGAGATGGCGACGCCGAATTGGCGGCGGCCCAGGCGGGCGGCCGCCCAGCAGGAGGCCGACGGCGCCCCTCCGCGGGGAAGGCCGAGCCCCCGGCGAGGTCCAGCGGGGGCGGCGCAGCAGCATCGGCGCCGGGGGCGCAGCTCGCCGCCGTCGGCGGCGGGCAGAGCGACAAGGGCGACACGTAGCGGCGCAACAGACACCTCGGCAATTCGAAGAACATGGCTCCAACAAGAAACAGGTAGGCCTCGTCAACATGCTGCCCAGGCAGGTCCTCCTGACCACGCAGATGGCTCGCGACCTGCGGGCGGCGGGGGTGGACTCATTCCTCACGGGCGCGGACGCCCCCGAAATCAACGCGGCTCAGGAAAGCGGGGCGACGTTTTCACGAGAAGACCGAGACCGTGGGAGAGGCCACCAGTTGTGTCCTCTTCACCTGCATACATTCAAAGGGTTTCTCGCCAATTTGCTCGAGCGTGGAGTAGCGCTGGGACAGAGGGCGCGCTCGCTGCTCAAGGCGCGGCGCGCCAAGGCGCGGGTTGATCTGCAGCCAGAGGAGTTGCGCAACGTCCCCCGCCTCTTCCGCGCGATGAAGTGCTTCGACCCGTCGAAGCGCCAGGGCGCATCATGCTGCGGGAAGCGCCGATGAACCAGGCCTCGCCCGAGTCCGACGAGCAGCCTCTGCCTTTGCCCGCGCTCGTCCGCAGCCTGCCCCAAAAGGCGCTGGCCGAGGTCGGGGCTCGCAGGGCTCTGGGCGCGGCTCCGCCAGGCGCCATGGAGGGGATCACGCACGACGCGGTCGACGGCTAGGCGGTAGGCTAGCTCGTCTGCTCCCTGCTGCAAAACCGTAGCTCTGCTAGGTTCGGTTGCCACTGTTGCGCTGCAGCTCGAACTGGCTAAATCCTAGCTCGGCTAGGTTCGGTCGACAGTGTTCTGTTGCAGCTCGAACTGGCGATTGTGATCAGTCTTCGCCCTTCGCCTCTGGCAGCCCAGATGCCGCGCGATTGGCGGTTGGTGCGCCGTGCCGCTCGAGAGTTGCACCTACGTGTTCTTACATGTCAATGACGGGGGCCTCCTGCCGCGCCGCCCCCGGGGCATCATCGCGCTCGTGAGTGTCGATGACGTTGGCTCCCAGGGGCTCATCGTGCACTGGTAGGCGGGCCCTCGTTTTTTTTTCATATTGCAGCTGCCGCTGCAGGTTGAGCCCTCAATCGAATTACTCCG